TCCCCCAGCTAACTGTAACAATATGAAAAAAACTAAATAAGGTAAAAGAGTAAACTAAAGTATTTAGGAACTTGCTTCTTTAAGTGTGTACTTATTTTCTCTACAGTACTGGAGATAAATGTGTCCTTAATTTTAAACCATGTGGACTGTTTGGGAAAGAGCTTCACAGAGTAGAGGGATACATTCAGGACAAAAAGTAAGTGATAAAAGCTTCTTGGCCTCACCATTTCTGAGCTTTGTGGCATTTCTTTAGTGCTGGCATAGTGACCACAACTGATGTGACTGCAAAGCTGCTAGTAATGCAGATTGTAACCCATTTCTGTTCTCAGTGTCAGTATAAAACCCCTTGATTCTACGATGATAATTTTAAGCGTTATTAGAAAAACTCTCCTGTCCCGTCTTTGGAAATAAAGGTATCCAGGGAAAATGCAGAGTAAAGTTGCAACTGATTTCATTGCTGTACACTCACAATTCTGGTCTTCAGTTTAAAATAATGAGAATATGGTTATTAAAAATTTTTAATCAAACCCAAACCTGTTTTGTGAGTCTGAGTCTCTATATTGTAAAACTATTGGCTGTATTGTGCCCACACTCATTTTACGGTGGCAGAAGCATGTGACTAAGTCGTGAGGATGTGTTCTGCTGGTCAGCATGCCAGAAAGACTGGAATAAGCTGAAAGCTTTGCTTTGCATTATCAAATATCTGGCTTCTAAGAAATCTGCTAAGAAACATAAAGTACAACAAAGTAGGAAGCTGAGTATTTTGTATAGATCAGAATCTGCATGACTTGGTTTAGAAGGCTTTATAAGAAGCAAAAGGGAAATCTCCTGTGCTTTTTCTGCAGCAGAAAGAAGCTGTGCGTGATCTATGGCAAGTGGACAGAATGCTTATGGTGCACTGATCCCACCACGTATGAGACTTACAAAAAGAATGAAAAGAGAGGTGGTGAGCAGAAGAAATTAAAGCCGGTAAGGTTAACAGTTCTTGAGGGAGAAAAGATACTGAAATATAAGAATTGAAAGGAAAACATCATCTTTACAGAAATGGTCAGGTGGAGGTGAACGAAGGGTTAAAACAGTCTGTCTCTTGGTAGGGGTCAGATGTGGGCAGTGTTATCACATGAGAAGGCATTGCACTTCGAACTGTGTGGACTTTAGTGTGGGCTGCTGGTATCAAAGAGGACTCATAGGAATGGTGTTTGCTAGAGATGTGTCAAAGAGAAGTCATCAAACATCAACCCCCCAAGCTGATGTCCAGTCCTTGAATGAGGAAAGTGACTCTACTGCCAACTCCAGATGTAAAAATACTAGGATTTTGCATTAAAAACAAAACATAACATGTTTTTCAAGTCAGTTACTCTTTTTGGTGATGCACCCTCTCAGAATTTATGATGTAGACAGCCTTGACAACAAAGGGGTTTGGAAACATGCAGGATTTTCTTATCACATGTAAGCACTGTCAGATAAGTTACCATGAAAGCCTCAGCACTGTATGGAAAATGCAAGATGTATGGTGCAGCAGAGGACTATTGGATTTCCTGGTATCAAGGAAAGGTTTTGCAGACCCTGGTTGTGCAGTGAAAATGAAAACAGTAAGTTAAATAGAAGCTAATCACTCTTAACATCAAGAAGCTCAACCTTTTATTAAAAAACATTCACATCAGAAGAATCTAGAGCAGCAACAGGCCTTGTTTTTGGGTATGGATTCTGTCATGGTACAGGCTTATATTTTGACTTTTATTTTAAATAGTAAGGTTCTGTTCATCTTACCAAAATCAACTCTTTCTTTCCTTCCTTCCTGTTGAATCTATATTTAGATGGGAAACTATCTTAACACTAAACCAGATGTTGACATGGAAAGTAGCCTAAAAGAGTCTTTTTAAGTAATGAATACTCAAACCAAATGATTGAAATTAAACTCTTAACCATATGGAGCTGTTTTCTAGTATATAAAACAGGCCCTGTTTAACTTAATAGGGTATTTTTGAATAAAATAAATGAGCCATGTCAGAGGGGGTAGAAAGAAAACAGAAAGGGGAGGAGTGAGAGGAGAGCGGAAAACTCTGATTCTGCCACTCTAGGATGTTATTGCCTCAAATTTCCCTTCTGGTTGTTGTGGTTTTAAATGGTTTCTCATGGTGAAATCCTCTGTAAGTTCCACAGTGTGGTTATCTGTGTCCTGCAATGCTCAGATTCTCTCAGATTCGGAGAGCAACCTCTTGAAGAACACTGCATTTGATTTTATGGATGCATTATTGTGGTGCAACTACTAACAAAGGAACATGGAGGGAAAGACACTGTATTTATAAACTTAACTACAGTCTTCATAGTGAGAAAATTGGTAGTGATAATAGTTATTAGAATCTACATCATAGGAAATCAGACTGAAACAAGAGCATATCTGTTTTTAATCGCACATCCAAAGCTTTTGCAAATGATGAAGCAATATCCAAATCAGGCATGCTTTCTTTATCTATCTTAGACCATTATGGGGACTGGTTTAAATTGCAGTGTTGGCTCATTTCAACCTGAAGAAATAATAGTCATGTTAGGTGAAATTAAGCTATGGGATGGGATAGAGGGGAAGCTAGAGAAAAGACTTCTGAAAGACATTAATTTACTATTATTAATTTTTTTAAACAGCTATTCAAGTTGTACATAGGTGGTGGGAGACTATTCAGAGGTATCAGGAGCAAGACATTATGATAAAAATGAGAGGAACAGTATAGAGTGAGGAAAAGCAAACATGAGAGTGATGCAGAAGTACAGGAGTGTGTTTAATATCTCAAATTTGAACAGGTTCTTCAACAGTCACTGTAGAACTCTAGATGAAACTGTCCAATTTCCCTTTGTTCCTCTGCCAAACGTTATCTCTGTTTCAGAGTGAAGATGTTATTAAATCTGAAAATGATGAAGCTGATGATATGCCAGAGGTTCAAGACACAGTACAGTTCATACCAGGCAGTAAATTGCTTTGGAGAATAAATTGTAGGCCACCAAACTCATCACAGGTAACTTGTTTCAATCAGTCTGTGTATTGCTGTTGCTAGTGATTTATCCACAGGAACACGAGTAATGTTCAAGGGAAACCTTATTGAAATGTCTGTCCTGAGCATGCTTAGTGACAGGCTCTGGCAGTTCTTGCTGCAGCAGTAAAATTACACTACAGCCAGCTCTCAGCTTCGTGCCTGTGCTGGAAGCATCACTGCTGTGTCAGAGCTGGTAGAAGGAAGTCATGCTCTGATTGTAGCTGCTTCAGTGTGAGTCTGGTGTCTCATAGGTTAACCTGACTGTGAGATCTTCGTGCTTAGAGTGGCTAAAATATGGATACACGGTCCCTTCTGCTGACCCTGCTGTTAGAAGACAGGCTTCCAAAAAAAATGCAGTAACTGCACAGCTGGATATTAACTGCAATAGTGTCAACAAGACTTTTTGGTATATTGGGTGTGGATGTCTTTTTTTTCATAAAAATAATAACATTAAATACCAGATAAGGAGGAAAATCTGTCTTAATCATCTGAAGCAAAGACAGTTTAAAAAATGAAAGCTGTGATCCCCTTCTGCCCTTCCTTGTCCCTCCTCTCCAACAAAAACCCCTTAGTTTTGTATGAACCTAACCTTGCTTTCAGGGTAACCAACGGGAGAAGGTCTGACTCGCTAATTTCTCTTGCAAGTTCTGTTGTATCCATTCAGTATAGGGAACCTGGTGCCACTTTGCCAAAATAACTTGTATGTTATCTTTAATTTGCTTTTAAGATGTACAATTTCACCAGTTTTGCTGTGAGTCTCAATGAGCTAGAAAAGGGCATGGAAGCAATATTAGCTCCCACTGACTGTCGGCTACGTCCAGATATCAGAAACATGGAGAACGGAAACATGGGTATGTGTTTGCTGGAGGAAATATTTTCACCTTACTAAGTTTTGAGAGATTACTGAAAGGGAAGTTGGTTGATACAGGAACACTGTCTTCAGTTTCTTATTCCCAGAGCAGCCTTGACTCTCTTTCATCCTGTGTTAGTGAACGTGCTTTTGAACAATGTACTATGTCTGTTTTCTCCCAAAAAAAAAGTCTGGGAGACCAAATGTGTCCAAGGTAGATCTCAAGACTGTTGCCCTATGTAATGGTGTATCTGCATGTTTATGAACTGGCAGACATGCTCTCTTGCTCTGGAGTCTGTCTGGAAAGACATGTGGTGAACAGACACGCTCTGTTATTCTGGCCTTTGTCAGGAAAAACACATGGCCAACTAGTGCAAAAATCACTCTCTCTATTATCCCTAATCTAAGTTCTTTCCTGCTGTCTCACTGCAGTGTTTCTGATACAGAAAACACCAACATTTCAGTTTTGACTCTCTGTTTGTAGTAGCAACTTTGCTGAAATGACAGGTTTAGTTTTTTGTTGCCTGAGATTTTCATTGTTCAGTGAGACTGTGTACAGCAAGTGCTTAAATGAACTATATTCCATTTCTCTGCAGTCCTTTGTGTGTTTGGCATTCTTGTTTCAGTTTTGCTTAGTAACCAGTTTATCTTGAAATGTTTGTTAGATGTGGCTAGCAAAGAAAAAGAGAGACTAGAAGAGAAACAGAGAGCTGCTCGCAAGGAACGTGCAAAAGATGAAGTGGAGTGGCACACACGGTAAGGAAGTTGGGCATTTGTTTAATGCTTGAAATGTTTTTATTCAAGACAGCGTGTTTGATTTCCTGCATGACAGCACAATTTGTAGTGTCACTTAAAGCATTTGCTGGGTCAAACAATTAAATAATGTAGCTGGAAGCCAAAATTGCTGATAACTTTTTTTTTCCTGGAGTAATTATCTAATAAAAAATGCAGAAACCTGTCATAATTAACTACTGTAGTAATGCTGGATTTTCTTTGGTTTGTTTTTTAAAACCTACAGAGGTCATATTTTTGTTAGAACGAATAAATGTTAAGTCTCATCTCTCCTTTTAACCAATTCCTGGCCAGCTTTTGGCAGATGAGTAAGACATTGTGGCCCTCTAGGGCCTTTTATTTTCACACTCTTGAGACTTCTTGGCATGAATACTTCAGAAATTGCTTTTTTGTTTGCATATTCAAGTGATTTCTCAGTCATAGATGGCATCATGCAGTAATGTGTGATTTGGCTCCTGCTCCCAGTGGTGGCTTTTCACAGATGCCAGTGCTATGCAGTCAAGTGTACACTCAGAGCCAGTTCCTGCAGGTGCTTCCTTCAAAGACAAGAACTTTAGGATGCTCCCATGATTTCATGAAATTCAGAAGAGAAAGCATTTTCTTCCCAAAGCCTGGAGGAGCAGCTACAGACTAATTCCAGTTAATGCCTTTGAAAATCTCTTCCAGAGAACATTAAATTGTTTTCAGTCAACGTGGCTAAAAAGTGAGCATCTGTTAATGTTCTGTGCAAAGCACAGCTCCATAGAACAGAACTGTTTCCTGTTTGGACAGCTTTACAAAAAGGATTGTGTAACCAATTTTGCATTCTTTTAAAGTAAAAATATATATAGTCAGTATATAATCTAGCATATAATATCAGTATATAATATATCAGTAGTCAGTATATAATCTAGAGTATCAATGTTATTTTTATTTGGAGTAGGACAATGATTTTAAAATCCTTTTCATCCTCCTTTATTTAATTTTTTTTTTTAAAAAAAGCTGCTTTACAAGGGGGTGATAATTGTGTAGGAAGTTTAATGCCTTATTTTTCACGGTCAGAATATTTCCTGAGAACTTTTTTTCTGATAAGAAATAGAAGTGTGTTTTCACAATGTTTTGTGAAAGAAGCGAAGTTGTTTTCTAACTATTAATAACTATTCACTCTTTGCTTTTTTTTCTTTTATTGTTTCTTTCCTTTTTATCTTTTGTTTTGTTTTCTTTTTTACAGATGGTTTCATCAAGGCACTAACCCATACACTGGGACTTCAGACTGGCTGTACTCAGGTGGCTATTTTGATAGAAATTTCTCAGACTGTCCAGACATATACTGAAATTATGGAACCAATTGCTCATCTCATCTGGACATCTAGTTACTAGATTTCATTCCAAGCCAGTTACTCTGGTTTTGTTGATAGCAAAAACCAGCTTTTCTAAGTCAATTTTAACAAAAATTCTATTGGTCAACAATCAAGGATTTAATTATCACTAACGTTGGATTGCCAAATATTTAAATACTGTTGCATTCTTTCCATAAAGCTGCACCTGAAATCCTCATGTTTTCACTAATTTTCAAAGGGACCTTTTGGTTCTTCATTTTTATTTTTTTTTCCCTAGTTTCTTTGTCAGGAAGATACGCTGTATCTGTTAGAGCACATAACATCCTTGAAAACTATGTAACTTAAATAAAATAGAGATAATATCCTTGTTACTTAGTACAATAGTGAAGAATCTGAAGTTTTTGGAACTCGGAGCAGGGATGAAAAACTAAGATGGTACCAACAGGATCAAATCTGGTACTGTCAATACTCCCCGTGGAGAGAAGCATGTGAACCTTCCATATGGTATGTAGCACTCTGGGGGGACTGGAGCTCCTGGCCCCTCTCTCTCTCTCTCAATACGATTCAATAATTCAGAGACTTGGGGAGACAAAAACCCACCTGAGCTTCTCAAACTGTAGTTGTCTGTTACAGAGTCTTCACAACTTCTGGACACTGTGAGCATTAAACTGTATACCTGTGATAAAATGACATAAAAAGCATACGTTAGGAGAAGGGAAGGGTGTGTTAAAAAGTGTCCTTTTTCTGAAGTCAAATGCTGTTCTTAAAATAGGAGAAGCTTCAGAAGCAATTGTAGGAATGTAGAGGTGGTTCCAATGTAAAATATATCGCTTGCTACCACTTGGAGGCTTAAATCTTCTGCACTACCTTTGACAGCTTTGGCACTATGTATGCTTCTAGATGAAACTTTGATTTGGAAGCACTTTGGTGTGTATATCCACACAGGTTCATCCTTCGGGGAAGTTTTGGTTTGCATGTTTTTTCGTTACTAGGTCATGTCTGTTTTGTACGTTGTGAAAAAGCAGAATCAATTTAAAGCTTTGGCAGAGTTATACCTATTACAAGTTTTCTGTGAGCACTTGATGTCAAAAAGTGGGATTTTTAAATTTTTTTTGTTCTATATCAAACCATTGAAGCCATATAATACTGGAAATAATTACTGAATTGATGTATACATTTTATTTCAAGTGGTACATCTTAGGGGGGTTGCTAAGGGGGGAGAGGGGCTTAGAAAAAAAATAGGTTCAGTAATTAAACCTAATGTTGCTGCTTCTTTTATGAAAGTTCTTAATTGAGCAACTAAGCAAAAATGGAGAGTGGCTGCACTGCTAAATTTACAATAATGCAGAAATTGCTGGTGATAACTTGAGGAATTCATGGAAGAGCTGGTCTGGTTGATGTTGAAAACATCTGTGTGTTCAACTGGAGAGTAGACTGTTGAAGTGCTTCTCTCCAAGGCACAAGATTAAAAAGCAAAAGAAAATTAACATACTCCTGGCGAAACATTTTTGTATCAAATCATTCATCTAATGATTGGATTAATTTTAAATTTTTGGGAGATTTAGTCGTGTTGTTGCCTTTGTTGGAAAAATAAGAGAAGCTGTAAAACTTCAAGGCAGTAAGTAAGGGCCTAATCTGAAACACACTCGTGGAAACAACGTCATTCTGTTGCCAGAGATGGTACTTTGTGCTGATTGCAAATCTTTAGGAGTCGGGCTGGACTGGGTAATGCAGACAGTGGGGCTGTATTTGTTCCTAGTAAGTGCATAGACACTTGACCTTCTAAAAGACATTGCTGATCCATCTGGGACAGCATAAAAACACTTTTATCAAAAAAATTGAACTTTAATGACTGTGCCAGGTACTGTAACCTCCTTTCCAAACTCGCTGCAAGTTTTTGTGTAGGGAGCCCTTTGTGAGGTGAGGATTGACAGGATTCACGTATAAAGCCAGTTTAACATCTCATGGGAGTTTAAAACTCGCTGAAACTAAATCATATGCTTAATGCTGGAGTAGTGTTTTTAAAACAATACATATAAATAGAAATTGCCTGAATGGAAAGATTGTAGAGTAATTGCTAAAGAAATACTCTCTTCATAAGAAGAAATGTCGTGGTTAGCATCCCTCTTGTCTGTTATGATTTAATTCAGAGACCTAAAGCCTTTTCATTATGCAAAAGCATGAAAAAATTGTAACAACGTGTTTAATCTATGAACTTCAGCGTCGAATCTTCATGGGTTTTAAAAAGAGACTGGGAAAATTTCTACAATAAGAACACTTCACTAGTTATGTCTTTACCCCCCCCTTTTCCCTCCTTCAATGTAAAGTTTTTCGTAAAGTCTGGTTTTTATAATTTATTGTTCTTCATTGACAACACTTAACAAACTACTTTCCCCGCACTGCTGCCTCGTCTGTGCTTGGCTGGGACTCCTCATGCTCTGGAAGTGAAAAGGTTTTCTTTTCAGTGATCTCGCCGCAGTAGTTTACGTGTCAAAACATTAATAACTTTGCACCTTTTGAAAGAATGTCACTTTTATAACTTGATTAAACACTGTATATAAGAGAACTGTGTTAGTATATGTTAATACAGCTATGTAGAGAAACCATCTAGAAAGAAATTATAATAAATACTTAATACCCTTTGGGCATCTAGATGGTGACAGAGAGATTTTTGTACGTGAGCCTTGTGACCCAGGGCAGCTGTCTGCTGGGGCAAGAGGAGGGCTGGAGATGACTCTGGCTTTGGGCAGCCAGCTCTGGGACTGTTTTTATTTTCACTGCGATGCTTATCAGACAAAGATGATTTAAATCAGAGTTTTGAACACCCTCACATTGCCATGGAGGATTTTCCCCAGCACTGGGGGGACTCGGCTCCCTAAGCAGCCTGTTGCCCTGTGTTGGGTGTGAGAAGCTTGGGGTGATGGTGAGGGATGTGTGGTGTGGAAGTTGGGTTGGGAACCCGTGAGGTGACAGGGAAGAGGAACGGCTGTGGGTGTGTGACAGCGCAGAGGCCAAGGGTTAGCTGGAGCAGGGGAGCGAGGGGACTGCTGCTAAAAGTGTAGTGGAAATTAAAATTAACCTTATAGTTCATAGAATAATAAATAGCTTGGTTGGAAAAGACAGTTATCATCATCTAGTCCAACTATAAAATTAGCATTGCCAAGTTCACCACTGAACTAACCCATGTCCCTGAGCACCACCTCTACACGTCCTTTGAATCCCTACAGGGATGGGGACTCCACCACCTCCCTGGGCAGCCTGTTCCAGTGCTGGACAACCCTTCCAGTGAAGAATTTTTTCCTTCTATCCAACCTAACCCTCCCCTGTCACAATTTAAGGCTGATCCCTCTTGTCCTGTCACTTGTTATGTTGGAGAAGAGACCAACACCCCCCTCACTGCACCCTCTGTTCAGGGAGGTCTCCCCTCAGCCCCCTCTTCTCCAGTTGCTTTATAGCACCAGCGTTTGTGTCTTTGGAAATTGGAAGCAGCTTTTTTCAGAGTTCAAGTGTTTATATAATTATGGGTGAATGAGGACAGGAACCATGTACCCTCAATTACCTGGAAAAACCAGAACTAATTAGCGGTCTTTATTCCTGTTTAATAATAATAATAATAAAAATATCTTTT